CCAAGTTAATGATTTGGCTGGAACCAAAGTCTTCGTGTCTACAGAACCTGATTTAAGCGGCCAAGATGACGCGCTGTCTCAGTTCCCTTCTCTTTTTCCGTTGTGCGCTGTGACTCGCGCCAGAATAAAAAATTTGAGGATGTACTTGATCTTTCCAGTTCGTTCTTGGTTTCTTCGCCGGAGGGTAAACTGCTTGTTCAGCCGCAACTGCCCCAAGGTGATGAGTATTTGAAAGAGGATGAGACTCCCTTAAAAGTGGGTATATTTCAATTACTTGCTGCTCAAAAATCTGATGTATCATTGAACAAATGTATCAGTGCTGCTGCAGATAGAAAGCAAATTTCAGATGCGCCGGTAGGTTGTTGTTTGGACGATGGTGTGCTCATGCGTTGGTGGAAGCCGTCCGACTCTGAACGTGAGGGAGTTTATCAGGTCGTTCTCCTTACCGGCTATCGAACTCAAATAATGAAACTGGCCCACGAGCATATTTGCTCGGGACACCTTGGGGTTACAAAATCCCATGATCGTATTGCTAGGCATTTTGCACTCCGCATTTGTTCGGTCTTGTCGCATCTGCCAACTTCCCGGTAAGCCTAATCAGGTGATCCCTCAAGCTCCGCTTCAACCTATTTCTGTTATAGGAGAGCCTTTCGAAAGACTCATCCTTGATTGTGTAGGCCCCTTGCCTAAAGCTAAGTCCAGTCACCAATATATCCTCACAATAATGTGTACAACTGCGCGCTACCCGGAAGCCGTGCCTCTGCGTTCTATCACCACAAAGGCAGGGATTAAAGAGTTGGTTAAGTTCTGCTCTATGTTCGGGTTACCAAAAGTAATTCAAACAGATCGGTGAACGAATTTGACCTCGAACATGTTCGAACAGTTGGTGAAAGAACTGCAAGTACAACATGAAATGTCAAGCGCATATCATCCAGAGTCGCTAGGTAGCTTCCATCAGACGCTCAAGTCAATGCTGCGCATGTATTGTGTAGAAACTGGTAAAGACTGGGTGGATAGATTGCCCCTTTTAATGCTGGCTGTAAGAAGCACTGTGCAAGAGTCCTTAGGGTTCAGCCCCGCCAAACTTGTCTTCGGACATAACGTTTGGGGACCTTTGAAGTTAATCCATGAACAGTTCCTTTCTAAAGATTCTCACCGCATGCCAATCCTGGAGTATGTGAGTATTGATCGAAATGGATCTGGTGTTAACCCTGTAGCTAACAGTGTGTCTGCAATGAATGTTGTTGGTCTGCCTGCTGGTTATATGCCGAAGGTAGATGGTTTAATTGGCAAAGATGCTCAAACCTCTTGTGGGAGGCTTTCAAACTCTGTCATTCTGTCCACACTGCCGACTTATCTCTCATATCTGTCTGAGGAACACCGTAATGATATTATTGAATTGGTTAACAAGTATCCCACTTTGTTTAATGATGTTCCCTCTCAAACTAACATGTTGGTGCATGACATTGATGTGGGTCAAAGCACGCCCATAAAACAGCATGCTTACCGAGTTAACCCGTATAAACGTCAAGTAATGAAGGATGAGGTAGATTACTTGGTGCGTAATGGTTTTGCTGTCGTCAGTCAGAGCCCATGGAGTTCGCCTTGCATTCTTGTGCCCAAATCTGATGGCTCCCTTCGGTTCTGTACTAATTTCCGCAAGGTAAATAATATAACTAAAGCTGACTCTTTCCCTCTTCCCAGAATGGAAGACTGTTTCGACCAAGTGGGCTTTTCACGTTATGTAACCAAGCTTGACCTTTTCAAAGGTTATTGGCAGGTCCCGTTAACACCGCGCGCTTCCGAGGTCTCCACTTTTGCAATATATGGTGATGGTCTTTGGAATGTGTAACGCACCTGCCACATTCCAACGATTAATGCAGACTGTGTTGTCTGAAGTACAGAACTGTGAAGTCTATTTCGATGACGTAGTGGTTTACTCCATGTCGTGGGACGACCACTTATGCATCCTGAATTCAGTCTTGAAGCGCTTAGCTGAGGCATCGTTAACCTCAGTAAGTGTGAATTCGCCAAGGCTGTAGTTACTTACCTCGGGAAACTAGTTGGGCAGGGCCAGGTAAAACCTGTAAGTGCAAAAGTTGAAGCTATTGCGGAGTTCCCATCACCTACTAATAAACATGAATTATGAAGTTTTTTAGGAATGACCGGTTATTACAGGGGGTTCTGTAAGAACTTCGACACAGTGGTTGCGCCCCTTACCGATCTCCTTAGCACTGATCGAAAATTCGTGTGGGGTGAAAAGTGTGAGTCTGCCTTTTGCTCTGCAAAGGATTTGCTGTGCAATGCTCCAATCCTGTCTGCCCCTAGGTTAGCTTTGCCTTTCACTCTGCATGTTGATGCAAGTGCTCGCGGCGCCTGTGCGGTGCTGATGCAAGCTGATGATGCTGGCATTGAACATCCTGTCAGTTATTTCTCTAAAAAGTTTACTAAGTGTCAACAGAACTATAGCACCATAGAAAAAGATGCACTGGCATTACTTCAAGCCCTCCAACACTTCAAAGTGTACCTAAACTCTGGTAATCAAATTATAGTGTACACAGATAATAACCCTTTAACATTTCTGTCTCGTATGTCAAACTCCAACCAACGTTTAATGAGATGGGCACTGATTTTACAGGAGTTTGATTTGGGTATACCTTATAAGAAAGGTGCAGAAAACGCTCAGATGCAGCACTGCTATAAGGGGGGGGGGGGGGGGGGGGTGTTACGTCCTTCGACGTAAGTTATTATTTTTGTTTATTTGCATTGATATATATTGTATATGTTGTATTGTGAGCTACGGATTGTGCGCAGCTCTCTCTCTCTGTCTTTCTCTCTCCCTCTCTCTGTCTCTCCCTCTCCCCATCTGGCAGCGCTTGATTGGGACCAGCTGCAGGAGATTGCGTGGTGAACCGGAGCGTTTAAATACTGGGAAGCAGAGCAGCGTTGGAGAGCTTCTGTAGTGTGTGCGTCGTGAAGCTCCGCCGCGGGTGTCGTGCCGTTCCGTCCTCTGTCTCCTGCCCCAGACAACAGTTGGTTGTGTAGTGCTGTTAAATGACGGTGTTATTGACTTGCTGTGGAAGAAAATGTGTGTAACCATTCTGAGTGGCGCTGCGGAAACACCGTTTCCTGAACTGCAAGGATTAAGCTATATTTGAGTCCTCTGTAATCCGATCCTTAAGAGTTTTTGGTTGTTAGCTAGTATTCGTTATTTCTGAAGCAGTAGGTTGGGGACTTCCATTTATTTTGTGAACGTCGTTTTCTCCTGTTTTTTTGGCCAGAGAGGGCGTTAGGGAAGACCTCTGTATTTCTTTTGGGAATTTTTATTTGTTCTCTAACTTCTCTAAACTCTTAGTTAGTTTGCCTTTGGTTTGTTATTTTGGCCTGGATCCCCGTCTGAAGAGATGTGCTTCCAAACATCAATTTAAGATATAATAAACAAACTTTTTCGCTTGTGAATAAGCCTCTATTGTGGTCATTGTGAGCTGGGACAGGACAGGAGCTAAATTATTTCTTAAATTTTATTCTTGTCATCGGCCTTACTAACCCAAGACTGGTCGGGTCGTCACAGTCACTTAATTATCTCATTAACTTTAACTCTTTAAGGACTTGGGATTTGACTTGAGACTTGCTTGTGATGTGAAAGGAATGACTTGGTTCCACCTCTGGTGAAATCAGCTGTCTGAGATCATGAGTGGAATAAACATATGGCAGGACTTTTACTTTCTGACCCCTGTACTTCCCTCCTCTGCCAACCACTGGGTCAAAACAACCCAATAGCTGGGTTTGTCTTTTTTTAACCCAGTGCTGGGTTATATTTAGCGCAGCATTTTTTAGAGTGTTGGCTAACTATGCTTTTGGGAAATGTACCCCTGATTGCTGGATCTCACCTCAGGATTATGGGTAGTTTTACCGTTCCAACTCTTTCTTCCTTTTGGAAAGGGCCATTTGGAATCCAATGCTGTACGTACATGCTGGGTACAATCAACTGTCAAAGTTTTATCTCATAGCTGTATTTTGTAGCCATTTCAAGTGTAACCATAAGTCATTACTTTTATAAAACTTTTTCAACTAAAATTAAAAGCAAAGTAGTTTTGATACTTGTGCTGCTTATTGCATTACAATAATCTCATTGTAGCAATACTCTCCCCTCCCACATATGTTGCTGTTCTAACTGCACTTAGTTCCATCAATGGAATAAACAGAAGTGAGTGACAATAGACAAGAAATTTAAAGTTTTAAACCATCATGCTGATAATGTTTCTTTAGTCATTTGACAATCCTACAGCCTGAACCACTGTAGGGAAACCACCCTTACAAAACTCTTGATTTTGGCCGTTTGCTTTGGCTGTTTAGCTCTGATTAGTGGTAGTGTGGCTCAATCTATTCCTCCTGTGTTTCAATTGATTTTTTTCTTGGTATTACTATACTTGTCACCTTAGAAATAATGCAGTTATTGAGAGGCGATACAAATTTGGAACATTTTACATAGTAGTAGCATTTCACAGGGAAGGACTTACTTCTGTTGTATACTGTATACAATAATTTGGAATGTCACAACCAAATGTGGCCAATGACAAAAACAAAACAGTGATAGTTATGACTGACAGAATTTGGGTTTTAAAACATCACTGCCATTTAGTCAAATTCACTCATGTAGTTCAGTTCTTGCCATGATATACTGTTAGTTTTAGTAGGTTGTAAACATGTTAGTGTTTGTAATCTTGTCTATTTGCCAATATGAGTTCGACATGTAACAACATGTCTGAGCTTGGTCATTTTGTATTGTCAGAGTTTAGTCGGAGAAAGGTGGCAGCTTAACTGGATTGGGAACAGCATTTTAAATGACAATAATAAAGTAGACTCATGCACTGCCACTGCTCTCTGATCTCTGTAAACTTCGACTCAGCACATAATGAACAGCCTCTGTGATTCTGCCTACAAGGTCAGCGTGTTAATGATGTTCATTTATCTACATCTGTTTCTGTTGTGAACATTAGGCAGCATAAACCAGCGACCTCCCCGCAGCCCCACTGTGGCTCCACCCCTTCGCTCCGCAGACTGTCTGCGCCACGGGAACAGCAGCGATGCCCGGGCTGTGAGAGCGGTCTGTCTGCTGATGGGTGGAGCAGCTGCATCCTCAGCACTGGGATACCTGAACTCCTGTCCACCCACCTCCTCTAACATGGCCGTCCATGCACCTGAAATCACCCACTCCACAGCTTTCTCGGAGATGGGGGGAGGCAGTTCTTACCACGCCTGCAGCCAAGCCATAGAGTCGCCACACTTTAACAGCTTCGACTTTGAGGGAGACTCTGATTTTGATGCTTTTGACTGTGGAGGGTTTGCTTTTTAATGGAATTTACTTACATTATTCACAGGGTTCCCACAGTCATGGAAAAGTTGGAAATGGACATTTAAAAATTGTCAATTTTTTGATGGCAAACAACTGGAAAAGTCATACACATTCATTGGTTATAAGATGTTGCAATGCTGCATACAAAGTTTGTTTGTCAATCTCTTTTCAGTAGAAGACAGAAAACAGTTTGAATTAGAACATGTGAAAATGCAACTGATTATATTGGAAAATGAAGCCTATTTTTAGGACCATTATGATTTTATGCATTTTGGTATTATCTTCATGAGAATTTAGCACATTCCCCTTTATACAAAACACTATTTATTATATTTTTATTTTTGTATAAAATATGTTCCAGAAATCTCCTTGGCAGGTTTTGTGTGATTCGTCCAACTCACATGTTGTGGCTATTGCATGATTCATATATAATATACAGTATGTTCACAATAATAATAATAATAATAATAATAATAATAATAATAATAATAATAATGACATTGATGATGATGTTGCTGTCTCTTAGAACTCTTAACCCATTTTTTATTTCTTATTTATCAACTGAAATGTAAGGGTTAAAAAGTTGTATTTTGTGTATGTCAGACATTGATGTAGTTTATGACTGCAAAAATAATCATAATCATGGCAGGACTTTATTGAAACAAGATTAATTTACTTTTTCAGGGTTTTTGAAAACTTATGTGCCCTTTACTGTGATTTCTGCCAACTTTGATTAATTCTTAATTTTAATGTGAAATATATATATACAATTATTATATTCACTTTTTTTCCTCATTTCCTCATTCTTTTGCTCACATTCTTTCTCTGGGATGGTGAATTTGTGTAAGTGAGATAATAAGTGAGTGTTTATTAAACATAAATATAATGTTATGTCATAGTGAGTGATTCAATCCATCTGTCGTTCTGCTGAGTCAGAAGGATCATGTTTACACTGCAGTACATTACTGGGCCAAGAGTTAAGCATAGGATGATAAAGCAGATTTACCGGAGACAACATTTAAAAGCATACTAGGGGAAGAATGCACATATCTTTCTTTCATATAATTTCATATCTTACAGATCTCTGTAATATCTCTGTGATGATACAAAGAAAAGAAGGAGGTCATGAAACATCAAGGTAGTATTAGAGACGTGACATACAGCCAAGTATGGTAACCCATACTTGGAATTTGTGCACGCCATTTAACCCATCCAAGTGTGCGTGTGCACACACACACACCAACCTAAAGGAATTTTTATGAAAAATAAAAACTTATATAAACCTAACCCGAAATAATTTTTATGATGTAGAAGTTAATTTGCTTTAACCTCTAAATTATGCATTATGAGCAATTTACATGTTTGCATACATTTGTTTTTATTTGTGTGTTGCTTGTTATTTAAACAAGCTCTAAACTTTAGAGTGTAAGCCGAGGTAGATTTTTATCCCTAAGAAAATTTTAATTATAACTGAATTTATTTAAAGAGAGCGATTTGTTCAGTAAAAATTGTTTAGTTTTTCCCTCTGCTGTACCGAAACTGCACCAAACCGTAATGTCAAAACTGAGGTACGTACCAAGCCATCATGTTTGTGTACTGTTACACCCCTAGTAAATATACATATATAGGTTGTGTTTTGTTGGTCATTATTCTTAACACCTTGTTCAAGCTGGTAATTTCCTGGTTCTCCCCTGTTTGGATTATTATCTCTGGTTCCTTTGTTCCTGTTTTGGATTTTCTTTGTTAGTGTTTTTGAATAAACTGTTTGCTGCATTTGGATTCTCACCTCTCCCTGCTCAACATGTAACAATATGGTTCTAAATCAACATAATTGAACATTAACCCTCTGGGGTCCGAGGGTGTTTTGGGGCCCTGGAGAAGTTTTGACATGCCCTGACATTTGTGCTTTTTTCAGTTCCTTACAAACATTTTACTCATTCACAGAAAACAATATATTGATTTAAATTTTCTAAGACACGTTTTGTGCAGAAAAGGTATATGCGAGTGGGCATGAATGATCATGCATAATGCTGCGATTCACACCTGAGAAGACAAAGGCCCACATAATGAGCTGCATAATGAGTCTTTCAGTCAGGTCTGTGACTGAAAGGGAATTGCTACAAGAAAGAATGTGAGGAAAAAATATATTTATATCCTTTTTTGGTAACACTATTTTAGGGGTCCAGAATAATGCTTTAGTTAAGCATTAATTAATGGTTAACTTGTTCACAATTAAGCATTAGTTGAGTACAAACAAACTAGTAATTAATGATTAACTTACCATTTATGGAGCTCAGATTAGGCATTAGTTAAGCATAAATAAAGTAGTAGTTAATGATGAACTTGTTCACAATAATGCATTAAATAAGCATGACCACATACTTAATGATTAACTGAACATATAATAAGGGCATATTAGCCATTGTTTACATTAACTTACCATTTAGGGAGCTCAGATTATGCATTAGTTAAGCATAAATAAAATAGTAGTTAATGATTAACTTGTTTACAATAATGCATTAGATAAGCATGACCACACACTTAATTAATGATTAACTGAACATATAATAAGGGCATATTAGCCATTGTTTACAATTTATTAAACATTTTGTAGATACAAATGTATGCTATCAATAAACAAAAAAAAGTAATTAATAATTAACTGAATGTACAGTAAACACATTTTAGCCATTATTTACAACTTAATAAGCCATATATTATTTTTGTGTAGTGATGTAAATATTTCTATAATTCACCATTTATTAAGTTGACTGAACAATAAGCTAGTAAATATATTTAATTACTGCTTAAATAAGCCAATAATTATGGCTTAACTGCCATTAATACAGTACTAATATTCAAGTTTATTGACTAGAATTAGCCAATAATTATGTCTTAACTGCCATTGATACAGTACTAATAAAGGCAATTTGACCCCCTATTCTAGTGAAAGTTATATCCACATTAACTATGGCACTTATTGAGTGATATTCAAGTTTATTGACCATATTAAGCCAATAATTATGGCTAAACTACCATTAATACAGTACTAATTGTAGGGTTTTTCAGCTCAACAGGGAAATATTTATGACTAATTATAACTGGTTATGATTAATAATAAATATTTAGATTATATCTTCGAATTAACTGTAGCAGAATCAATATTACAATTATTTGATCTGTCCGTCCACCGAGCAGACAATTTAATCATTTATCAATTCAAGGAACGATTATTTTCCTGGCCGAGGAAGAATAAACTGTCCTTCTTTATGCAGTGCTAGCAGTAATTTAACAAATGTAGCAAGGGTTCAAACATTCATTGACTTCGAATTGTGAGCAGGAAACAGAGACAATCAGTTGTGAATATAAGGGATTTAATAAATGAAACTATATCTAACATATAACTAAGCAAAACATATATATATATATATATACATAGAATGAAACAAAGTAAGGAAAATAGAGAGGAAAGTAAAAAAAACATCAGAGAATCAAAACTCACCTTAAAAGGGGCTGAGACTTAAACACGCGTCTAAATAATTGTAAACGGTTACTTGCATTGGTTTCGATTGCTGAACAAGAGTCCTGATGCGGTAAACAACGGAGGTCTTTGATGAGTTCGTTAGGAGTGAGTTTTTACAGTCAAACGTAAAAACACGAAGGTTGCAGCAGAATCAACTCAACAGCTGGTTAGTGAGGATGGTAAGTTTACTTTTGCCATACTTTAGCAGTACACCAGCTAACACTTCAATTCAGCATCCACATTGAAAACTGAATTTGCATACATTAGTGCTCCCCTTTATCTCCATGTTTTATTTTAAAAATTAAAAAAAAAAAATATATATATCTATATATAAATTGAATTTCATTCAATAGTTGTTTGTTTAATTAAAGGTTCGGTCCAGCAATACAGTTAGATCTGAGTAGATGTGAGAACACGAAGTTCTTGACGGAACTTGCTCCAGATCGGCGAACCAGACCGCAACTCGAAAGTCACAGTCCGATAATCCCGACCCAGCATCGTGCTCTGCCAAGAAGTTTTGTTTAAGCCAAATTGCCACGTTTCAAAGACGATGGATGTCATAGTTAGATTACAATCGCTGGGTCTGTGACAGGTAGGTTTAGAGCGTGGTTTGGTTCAGCTTTAGATTTAGCGGTACCCGAGTTGAACCGGCTAGGTTTCTAGTCGCTGAGGTTATGGCGGTTAGGTTTAGAGCGTGGTTTGATCTAGGACTACAGTTAGATCTGAGTAGATGTGAGAACACAAAGTTATTGACGGAACTTGCTCCAGATCGGCGAACCAGACCGCAACTCGAAAGTCGCAGTCTGATAATCCCGACCCAGCATCGTGCTCTGCCAAGAAGTCTTGTTTCAGTCAAATTGCCACGTTTCAAATACGATATTTGTTATAGGAAGGCATTTTTTGCCATTATTGTTGTTTCCTAATCCCTCAGATCAGTTTACTGGGTTAGGCCTATGTAGAGCCAGGCCAAAAGATGTCTGGCCCACAGGGCTACAGTGGTAAGGTTTTGGGCGAGGGTTGGTCCAGGGCTCGATTTAGATCCAACAAGATCTAGGAATGCGAAGTTCTTGACTGAACTAAGTATACGAACGGTAGGTTTTGGGTAAGTATTGGTTCAGGGCTAGATTTGGATCTTTTTAGATGTTGATTTTGGTAGGCAGACTTTGCCAGGTTAGGTCTGCAGATCAACTGGATCTGGGAACGCAAAGTTTTTGGCTGAACTTGCTCCGGACCAGCGAATCAAACTGCAACTCGAAAGTCACTGCCCGATAATCCTGATCCAGCATCACGTTCTGTCAGCGAGTCCTGCTCGAAGTTGAGGAAGATTTGAGGTCCGATGGTTTGCATGTGAAACTATGTTCTTATTGGCTTTTTTTAGATAGAGATTAGCCTGTCTTGGCTTTGGTCACTAGGTTTGGGAAGGTTAGGTTTCAGGTCCATAGTTGTACGAACGGTAGGTTTTGGGTAAGTGTTGGTTCGGGGCTAGATTTAGATCTTTTAGTGACAAGGTCCTTGCTCTTTGTTTGATCTATCGATGTTGATTTTGATAGGCAGACTTTGCCATGTTAGATCTGAAAATCAACTGTATCTGGGAACGCAAAGTTTTGGCTGAACTTGCTCCGGACCAGCGAATCAAACTGCAACTCGAAAGTCACTGCCCGATAATCCTGATCCAGCATCACGTTCCGTAAGCGAGTGCTGTTTGAGGCCAAGGAAGATTCCAGGTCCGATGGTTCGAAGCTAATATTTATTTACAACGAGGCCAGCGGCATTGCAGAGTTCGTAGATGATGAAAGGATTTGA